TTCCCCTTTTCTTTCTCTCTTTTCCCCCCTCTCCACCCGATAGATATTTCACTGAACATACTAGTATATGAATATTTGATGCACCCAAATCACCATCAGTGCCCCTTTTCACAAAATACTTTGCTGTGTATTCAATAATGATCTCGTCATCCAAATAATTGTCACTAGGGTTTGTGGGGAGGTCGTATTGTTAAGAGAAATAACTGTGGTTTTAGTTTAGTTTGATATGTGACACCAGTAACTGACCCTATGGTCACTTATCAGAGCTAATACCTGGTGTATGTGACACCGATTTGTTTGGTCAGAGAAAGACATAATTTGGGAATGAACTGATCTTTTATGATTTCTGTTCAATTAGGATGATCGTGATCTGCTGTTTCTCACAAAAAGATGTGATCCTTGGTTAGCCATCATAGTTAATGACAGTGATTTGTCAGAGGAGAAAAAAACACACTTTGTCCCGATTACAGATTGATCTGTTTGGATATCTGTTGATGAAGGGTTGTTTAGAGCCACAATTGATGTTCTTTTCTCTCATCATTGACAAGGCTGTTGGTTAGCCATCAGAAACATTTCAAGTGTCAATATGCATGACAGGATTTGTTTGATGTAATGGTTATTGATACATGTTGATACTGGATGTTCCATGATTTTTACTTATGTTTGGATGCTGGGGAGAGGGTAAAATGTGTCATGAATGTCTTAACCCCCCTCTCCTTCTCTCTCTCTCTCTCTCTCCACACACACACACACACACACACACACATGCACACACACACACACACATATACACATATGCGTTGCCATTCCTGCACACTACACCCCTGTACTTCAACACGCACACGTGCACGACACATCCCAAATATCTTCCACACAGGTCAACATAACACCAAAATGTGTAAGGAATTTGTAGCATTATCCCATTATCAGAAAGATTAGTTCTCGCATTTCTTTGATCTCTTAAAGTTAACTCATGGCTTGCATCACTTCAATAACACAGGTATGTTATCATAGAGCCATCTGTGTTCTGTTACCACACATATCTTGTGTGCTTGGGTAGTCCGGTAATGTCAGACTTTCTTGTAGGTCTTCAGTCCTGTAACCAGCGATTTCGAATTTTTTCTTGGGGGTGGGGGGGGGGGGGATCTTTTTTTAAGAAAAGAAAAAAAACTAGGCCTTTTTACCACCATATTTGACCCAACTTGCAAATTGACAGAGAATCTAAATCAGAATGGACCCTTTTCTAGACAATTTTGTTCTTAGAGTAGGTGATCACATTTATAATGCCAGGAAGAAATGTGCCCAATTAAGTGATGATCAAAGTTAACTACTTCACCTTGTTGTTGTTAGACAGCTTGATTGCAATTACTTTCTCTTGATTGCAATCAAGTCACTGGAAGAGGATCTTGTGGAAGCCACTCAGACAGTCAAGCAGCATAGATAATTGTTTTGTTTATGTTGATTGCATGTAAGGTGAGAATTATGTATATTTGATGGGGTTCATTTCCTCTACGTGAATCAAGCAGGATTTTTTCTTATCTTTCTTTCCTGTAATCTGAACGTTAACTTCAGCATCTCATTTTTGTGTGGGGTTTATGGTCATTGAGGAAAACTATTCTCTGTATGCAGTATGTCTGGTACTCTAAGGAAGTCAAGAACAGAGTCAACAGATTTTCGGTCCTTGAGTGGTCATTTATGTAGCCTGATAATCTGTTGACCAAACTGACCATAGACGACTGCACAGAGTTGTCTAAACTTGCTGCAGACATAAAGCACAGGAGCCAATGCCTTCATAGACAGTCCAAACAACTTTGTCCATGAATTTTCTGCCTTCTTAGCTACACTGGTAGTTGAAGTTACTTCAACTTCTGCGCCTCTTGAAACAGAGATGGTATAAGTATATTTTGTAGTGTAGATAGCTGGTAGTATTAGTGTTTTAATTCAAATGTGTCCTGAATATTTTCTTTATGTAAAATTCCATTTGTCTTATGCATAGTCACAATTTCTGTGGTGCATTTGCCTACAGTTAAGTAATATTATCACAGACCTTAGACCCCATTCCCAGAGATTAGATCGATCCACCTAGATCGACCTAACTTCCTGGGGGTTCACGCTAAATAGCTGTCAGCCGAGCGGGCACAAAAGTTAATTACCCCCTTACAGCTTGTAGTGGGCGGGACGGACATTTAAGCCGAATTATTTGACAGTAATCTGGTGAGACTCCCCACGGGGATAGATCGATCTAAAATCTATGGGAATATGCCCTTAGACAAGAATTCTGTAGAGTCACAAATCCAATATGCCCCCATAATCCCATCCACGAGCCAGACCCAGTAATCCGAACAATAATCAGAAATCACCTTCTTAGATCTTAAATAACTAAGTACAGCATCATTATCCCTTTTAAAGTCTCAGCCCTGCCCAATTGTGTCTCATCCCTGTATAATTGTTTGCCTATGCTGAGGTTTCGGCTGACAATACTGTGCAAAGACAACACCTTCAGAGACAAAACCAACAATGTTTCTCCTTACTTTCCCATAGTGAACCCCCTCCACGCACCACTCAAAGCTTGTACAGTTATTTGCCCGTAAGCTGTTTGAAACTCCTTCAAGACAATGGTCAAATAAATACTAATCCTTAGCATGGTCCTCCAGTATGGGATTTGATACACAATGGACGGCAGTGGACAAATAGACTGCGAGCCCAAGTGGTCAGATAATTTACTCAGGACAACAATGCCCACTGCTAATTATGACCTAAATGCCTAAATGAGCTTAATACTGGGAGATCAATAAAGCCAATAGATCTGGAGACATTTTGGCTGCTGGTCAGGGCGACTTGACTTAGGACCAAATTGAGCTTTTTTTTTGCAATTCAAGATTCTGCTAATTTTCCATGTTTTTTTTCCTCTCCTTTGTAGATTTTTAAATTGTTATTGTTTTTTTTTTTATTTTTCAATTATTAGTTCATTCAAATATTTATTAACATATTTGCCTGATCCTCTTAAAAAAGTCCAACTTGTGTGATAATTTGAGACTACTTTTCTTATCTCATTAAACGGAACCTTCTCCACCCCAACCCCCTCCCCCCCCCCATATCTCCTGTCCCCTTTGTAAATGACCACCGCTCCACTAAGGCTTCGTTCACATGAAAAAACTATTTTCTAAAAATCTATTTTCTATTTGCAGTATCTTGTGATCACGGTCTGTGCCCTGAATACCCTGCGGCGTAATTACTGGTAGCGCGAGCCAGTTACTTCCAAAGCTGTAATTAATTCTTGGCAGCGCTCAGAGTGATCACAAGATACTGCGAATAGAAAATAGATTTTTATAAAATAGATTTTTCATGTGAACGGAGTCTTAACATTCTATCTCCACATTCCCATTTGTAAAACAACAACAGAACACAACCCATTACAAGCTATGGCAAAGTATGTAGCAACCCAACTAATGAAATCCTGTCTATCCATCATCACCTTTCACAGGTGCCCCTTAATTAACAGGTGCCCCCTAATGTGGTCAACTGGTCACTTTGATCTGGCTACACCCTTCATTACAGAGTGGGAAAACAGTTATGTCAGGAATGACCCATGAAGTGGGCAGTGGTCAGCATTCCTGGGTGTCCACTCTCTCAGTCTTTGAATGGAAATTGTACCTAGTCTGTTACCAGTTATTGGACTGCAACCTCTATGACACCCCTCCCCTCTCCCCCCTCTCCTCTGCCTGTTTCTTTTATAATTTACATTTATTTGTTTAATAAACCTTAATTGATATTTTCTGAAATGGATAACATGAGTCAAAAAAATATGCAACAAATGCAAAAAAAAAAGTGAATCATTTCTGAAGACACAAAACATGTTTTTCTGCCAATGAGTTTTTTAAAATTATTTACTTTTTAATTCATCATTGCACAAGAAACAGTGCAACAAAAAGAACTACTTAACTGTACATACCTGTTGTTTAAATAAAATGACAATTAACCTTATCAACTTCATGTCCTGTTCTGGTCAATGTTGGACCTTACGGGTCTGGTCAGTGTCCGGCCTTTAATTTCTTATTTGCACATATCATCAAGACCGTGGAGACAGGACTTGCAGGGGGGGAAATAGATGGTCATTGTTTTAGCTTATGTAAAGAAACAATTTCAACCCTAGACATCTTTATTTAGACATTGGAATAATTCACGCTAATAAGGAAGGTGAAACAAAGAGTTCTTTTTATTATTTTTTTCCTCAGTGAAAATGGCTTTGTTAGTATTTTTAATATTAGCTATGTAAAACTTATATCTTTTTTGTCTTTTTAACTTAGAAAATATCATTTATTTTGTCACTGATCATATACAAGTTCATTCATTCATTCGTACATACATTAACTCTAATATTTCTATATTTTGCCTTGTGGTTTCCTTAAAGAGTCCAGATTGAATAGATAGCCATTGTTTTATTACATAATTCTATCATTACCATGCACATTAAAGGGTACTGATCAGCACTAAATTGGGTGGGGGTTGGGAGAAGCACCAAGAAAATCATCACAGATATATATTATGTTTGTTGTTTACCTCGACACCTGTCATAATATGGAGAATTTCATATCTTTTGGACAGATACAGAGATATTTTCTGACAGTCTTCCATATTATATTTGTTGATCCATCCTCCATTTTTTGACCGTCTTCCAACAGAAAAAATTTGATACCCGTCAATGTAAACTTGAAAATCTGACCGTCTTCTGGAAGACCCAGAAGACGGCCTAAATCCGCCCCTGGACCAGGCAGGCATTTATTTGCCTAAAGTGGGATTAGGAGTATTGGGATAGCATATGTGTACACGTAGGTGTGTGCATGCACATGCATGCTTGCATATGTGTGTGTGCATGTGTGTGGATGTGTGCAGCTTTGTCATCCTGCACCAACCATCAACACCATTTGTCCCTACCTACCCCTCCCTTCATAAATAAGTAAATAAATAAATAAATAAAATAAAATAAATATTTTATTTACCTTTTTACTGCAGTCAACTTGAGTACTGTGTTGGACTGGTGTAGCTGGCCTGGGCTAAGAATGACTGGGTATCTGGAATGACAAACAGTAAACATAGATAGTTCAACCCATAACAGACCATAACAGTACCCGGCGCCTGTGTGGGCAATGCAGGACATGTGCGTGTATGTTGCTGATAATGTTAACAATGCAGGTATCACTTTTAATAGAGTTTTGAGTGGTTGTGTGTATGGGGTGATTTGTTGTGTTATCTTTTTTGTGAAATGTGAAGATTGTGAAGTATGTTTGTGCAGGGGTTGATGGAGAGATAATGTGGGTAAGCATGGGTTTGTGTGTGTGTGTGTGTGTGTGTGTGTGTGTGTGTGTGTCAGGGAGGGCTTTAGGAAGTATATGGCATTAATATATGGTCCATAGATACACTTGCTATGAAATGAAATGTTTGCAGAATTTTTAAATCATATGACATGAGCATTACACATTGTTCAGACATTAAAAACGGCTCTCATAAAATATTATGTGAATAGATAACAGGAAAAGTGAACATATTATAATATGATTGCATATATACATAACCGACACAGAATTTCTGGTACAGTGAGCTTAGCCAATGTTACAGTTTGTTGATTTTCTCTGCTATCTGTTATTTCAATATTGTAATACACTGGCTTTGCATATTGTATTTCTAATACACTATATACATATTTTATTTACTTTATTATTCTAGAACAATTAAGCATGAGTGCAACATGTGTCACTGCTACTGTAACGGCAATAATGCAACTTCACTGAGTAAGCATGAATACTTATACTACTGTTACCCAGCCGTAACTTGCATATATGTGCATAATTTACATTGTTTAAAACAAACAGATGATAAACTCTTCAATATCTGAAATTTGGCTATAACTTTAAAGTATAAAAAGTTTTAAAACTGAATATCTAATCTTAAACTGACTGGCATGAGATTCAAAACTGAAACGAAACTGAGATAACAAAAAATGATAAGCAAAGAGGCGATTTAAAAAAAGCATTCATTTTTGTGCTTCCTGGAGAAGTGAATCAGATAATATCAGGATTGGACAAATCTACAGTATAAAGACCAGGCATACATTTTTTAAAACCACTGATTTTGTTTGTCGGGAATATCAGGCCATCTTTTAAATCCACGGCAAACACACATACACAGTTTTATACAAACTAGATGCACACCTCTTTCCTGTAGTTTCAGTAGTTAATCTAGTGTGAAATCACTGTCCTTTCACATCATCTGATGACATTTATTTCAGCTTAATGCTGTGGTCTTGGTGTACCTGTGTGTGACAGTGAAGAGAAGATGACAGCCAGATTTGTCATCATTAAGTAGGAATTAACTGGGGGGCAAGGTGTCAACCCAGGGTCTATGTGAGCTGTCACAATTTTTTTTTTTTTTTTTTTTTTTTGTAACGTTCTTGTTTTTTCTTTTGAAACTGCTACTGCAATTATTGTTTTGAAGTTTATGTTTTACAGGGGACAGAATTTCTTGGTCTCTCTCATATAAGACCCTATGGACTCTAAGCAGTATACATTTCTTTAGCTTGTCTAAAACCATTATTTTATTCAACGTCTGTAATTTGCATGCTCTCTTTTTTTTTTTTTTAATGTTGTTAAAATAGCTTCCTCTTTTTTTTCATGGCAGGTGTGACTTTGACAAACAGGCTCCTGATCCTGAACTGTCATTTTTATAATTCCACTATTAAAAAGTCAAAAAGTCACCAGGCAAAGAACACAATTTAAAAACTTTGTGAATGAACCACTATTTCTTTGATGTTAAACCTGATTTTTAAAAACTGTCAATCAAATAGAATACTCAAGGTGTTAGTTGGAAGTAGATTTTTTTAACATATGCTTTGGACGCTAAGGCATAATCTGATGTGAATCAGTTTTAAAAATAACCCCAGCTTGACTATCACAACCAAACTTCTGCAGATGACAGTCATCAAAAACATTTTTTTTAAAACAAGAATCTCAAATTTGACTAAATTCATCAAAGACTTGGTAGTAAAAGTTGAGGAAGTGTCCTGGATGCTTTGCTCTTATAGTAAGTATTATACCAGTAAACAAAAACAACATAGCTGCTTGCCACTCTTACCTTGCAATCAAGAGTCATTAAATCCTCTCCAACAACAAAAAAATCCTACTCTCTTTGTTTTCATACAAGACACTGTCAGTCAAATGGAAGACTTGAAGGAAAAAATCAGCAGAGGTGTGTTGTGCACCTATATCTCCTGGCACACACTGCTTGTCCCTCCACACTTTACTATTGACAATATCGGAGGTGACAGTATGGTGGGGAGAGTCCATTCTGACACAAATAAAAGGGGGACAAGGTGGGTGATTTAGGACATACTGGTGGTGGGCAGTGTCATGTGTCACGAGGGAGTTACTTTTATGTTTACATGGGTGGATTATCTGGGTGCACTTGTATAATGTTCTTACAGAGTTTTAATTTTTTTGATGTATGTATTTATTTGTTTTCATACATTCATTCCTACAGTTATATTTATTTTTTATCTATTTTCATCTGTTAAATTATTTTTATTATTTGGTTGAATTTTTATTTATTTATTTATTTATTTATTTATTTATTTATTTATTTATTTTGTTCATTTGTAAGATCAGCTTCAGATGATGTTTTCAAAAACAAAAAATCAAAAAGATAATCACAAACTGTATAACACAAAAGAATCTACAATACATTTAAAATAACAAAGTTTTCACTCAAAAGTGGCACACTAATATCAGAAGATGATGGCACAGGCTCAAACCTCTTAGGAAATCTCAGAAATTAAAATGCTGGGTTACCTCCCAACCTCACCCCCTGTGTCTTAATTCCTACTACATTGATTAACATACCTCAACCCTTTCAATCATTAGCAGGGCATATTTCTGGTATTGAATTACTATCAAGGGTCCCCCTGGCTAATAAGGCTGAATGATTTTTATAAGGAAACCTTGGACTTGGGTATGGCTCTAGCTACACTGGGATCACTGTAAAACAGTTCATTCCTGCTCCATTGAGGTTGGGTTTTTTGTGTTTTGACTTTTGGCTCCAAAGAAATAACCTTGTCTCAAGAATATAGTGATGTGTATCAGATTATTGGTAAAAGATCATTGTGATCTGTGGCAAATTGTCTGTTTTATCACATTTCTTTAACCATGGATGTTGACATATGTACGTGGTACATTATAATAGCAAAAGATTAATTTACTATAGTAGGTCAAAGATTTGACGTCTTACCACTTGTGAACTGTGGAAGATTTTATGCATTACACTTAACACAGAAACACTGGAGTCTGGGCTCTGCATGATGTAATGCAGCCAATACCTGTTTTTGAATATTAACCGGTTCAGATGCATAGCAGAAAGTAATGTGTGAACAGGAGAGGTCTTTCTGGTACATTGAGGTTACTAATTGTACCGTATATCAGGTGGTCAATAGAGAGGTAGAAAGTAGATATTATAGTTTTTGTTTTCTTATTTGTTTGCTTTTATCGACAATCTGCCAATCTTACCTTATGTTCCAATAGTAATAATTGGCTTCAATTGGGTGCTGTGCACTGGGAAGTAATTTTCAGATCAATTATAATATAATGTTGACATTGAATTTATTTGCTTTCTATTAAATAAGGTATATTTTAGAGTTTTTTTTTTTAATTCAATGACCTTTTTACAAAAAGTCTGAAGTTTGTGTACATGACTTCATGCTCACAAATTAAGCCAGACAAAAGTTTTTAATGTGAAGATGTTAATCATCCAACACAGTGAAGTTTAACTAATGGCAGCTGGTCAAGGAGTATAGAAATAGAAAGTTATGACTTATGTGTCATCATTTGTATTAGCAGTGAACAAGGCCAGGTGAAATAAAATTTTCTCAGTTACAGGTAATATTATAAATATCACTTCATGTCACCAGGTATATCTGATCATTTCCAACACACTGAAATATGGTTATTAATCTTGTCACCAAGACGTCTGTCAACATTAATCAGAATATAACAAGCTCTAGTATAATAGTAATTATATATCTATTGTTAATGACCCCTCTATTAATCCACATGGAGTGACCAGTGGTCAAGATGACCATGCTGTGTGGTCATTAGTGGTCAGTCACAGAGGGTCAGTGTGTTGTAATGGGACTTACAGGGGTAATTGACTTAATGAGGGTTATTACTCTTCCATTGTTTTCACTGTAAAATTCTTCCATTGGTTCTACTATCAAGTAAAATTGGTCTGTTTGTTGAAAAATGTGTTCATATGTAATTTTGCCCTTTTTTTCAGAATCCATTGATAGTTTTTATTCTGTCCTTATTTGGAAAGAGGTAATTCCACATTTATTTTTCATTTAAAGATTTATTTAAAGTCTCTGTTAACTTTAATATCTTATCTCCTACCTGTGGTCAGTGTTGTAACGAGCCTCGTTAGGATAATCTGGACAAATGATCTGCTAATGAGGACCAATATTCCCACAGCTTGTGACTTGTGCATGTGTGTCTGATTGTTAATTTGGTAGTGTGATGAGATTAAGATAAAATATTCACCTGACTTTACATCTTATCTGCATGTCTGTTTTTCTGAGGCCATTAAGACTGATTTTTTATAATCTATTTTCTTAAAAATGAAAGTAGATACAGGGTACCCTTCTTGGAGGCAGATCCAAGATTTAGAATGGGGAGGGGAAGAGACAAATATTTGGTCACTATTTCTGACCTCTCCTAACCACCCAGGCTATAGTAATCAATGTATAAAACAAGGTTTCTCAAGGCTCTCTTTTTCCCTTTCCTCCTCTTTCAAAAGGCTTGAGAAAGAGATTTTCCATTTGGAAAAAGAGGGGAATGGCATGCCCTGGATCTGGCTATACATCTATACATCAAAATATTAGAAATAATTCTCAGGTTATGTGATATATGGTTGATATTATCCAGATTGCTGCATATGATATGATTCATGGAAAATATCAAAATATAATGGCAGGTCAGTCGGTACAGCTTTACATGTATGAGATGAATACATAAAATCTACAGGCTGCAATTTT